GGCACTCACTCTAGCCAGGGCAACAAAGTGAGACTCTGTCTCAAAAAAAAAAAAAAATAAAAAAAAAACATCCATGTTGCATTAATGATTGTATCAGTAATTTCTTCTTTGGAAGCCCTTAGTGATGGTGTATCTTATTGAACCACACTTGTATATGTTCTGATTATAGCTTTGACAATATCTTTAAAGTCAATCCAGCAGAATTTGTGCAATGATAAAATAATAAATCTTTCATAAGTCACAGGATATGTTAACCAACAGTCTTAACTATTATTGCTGTGCAAGGAAGTCATCCCTGAGGTCTTCCACAATCCTACAGGATCTTGAAAAGGAAGCTTATCGAAACGATCTTTGCTGACTGCAAAGCATACTTCAGCTGAACTTAGCAAATTGTGGATATCTTGGTCCAGTTTTGCAAAATCCAAAGGGGATGCCAGCAGTTTTTAGCAAAAGCTATGCTTCTTCCACACAGATGGTCTTCTACACATTATGTCCCTGACCTTGCCAAAGCCAACACAAAGATAAGCAAAAGTAAGCTTGCTAACGACGTCCAGTTCAAACACTCACCCCCACACATACAGGCTTGCAGAAAAGTTATGAGGGATTTGTGGAGGAGATAAGAAAATTGTGGACTCAGGGAGCCTTGCTTTAGGTTGATCACAACAATAATATCACCATAATAAGAACAGTTAACACATTCACTCATTGCTTGTTATGTGCCAGACATTGTACAAGTATTTTATATAAATTGACTAATCCTTAAAGTTCTATAAAATAGGTAACATTATTATTGCTATTTTACAAGCAGCACACATATAACAAAACCCTGAGGCTCAAAGAGGCCAGGGTCACATAGCCAGAAGGTGACTATATCAGGTAACAACCAGATAGGAGAGTATATGATTTAAGTAACTGTACATTATATAGTTTAATTTTCACTCTCATCTTTCTTTGCAACAAAAACCGAGACTGTGAGATATGCTTATAAGTAGACAGACTGATAAACTATTTGCTAAAAATGAAATGTGGCACTACAATACTATGCATTTTAATTTATATATTATTTTTTTCAACATAAATTCTATTTCAGACTTTTCAGCATTTTAGTAATAATTATCAGGTGTATAAAATTCAGTCATTTTGATGTAACAATAATCATAGTAACACTATAGTGGCTTCCAACTTTAAAAATTACTTTGCGTATTTACCGACACTCATTTATGACTACATTTAAGGAGAAATATATGCTTTATCTGCATGGATGGGGCTTTATTACTCTATTAGATTTATCTATAAATAAAGTAGTTTTAAAATTGCTGGTATCCCAAGGCCATAGCTTAAATTTTTCTTTTTTGGATAGGGTCTCGCTCTGTTGT